AAGTAAAATTGAAAGAGCTTATTGGCCGAAAACAAGCTATAATATTGCAGGAGATCAATACTGAAGAACACGCGCAGTACCTATCAAGCCAGAAAATGTTGGCTGATGAACGTGTATTGATGTATTGGTATGAATATTGAAATATTACTTACAGGCTACAGCAGCAAGATCAATGATTGCTAGTTGCCAATTGAAAAAATCTAGAATGAACAAACCCGGGCAGCTTAACTTTGCTATGCAGATGGTAATGTCAATGTGCATTACTCAGTGTCTGGCAAATGAAACATGCGATCATTCTATTGCTACTGGAAGAGAAAGCTTGGATCACTAAATCAGCTTTATAATGTTTAATTTGATGTTCATCATTACTTTGCATTTCTTGAAAAAGGATTTCAGTAAAATTGTCAATGTGACAATCCATGCATGATGCAACGATGTGATCATATCATGTGTTCTGTGATGGTGATTATTGGTCTAATATACAAAAGCAAAGCTGTCAGCATTTCTTTCTGTGGATGGCCAGAAGGGACTCAGAACTTGAGAAGTATTAGTTTTCTTCACATGGCTGGGATAAAAAGTACTGCCAGGGTAATCTTCCAGAAAGAAACTTCTTTATTTTGACTTGGTATGAGATGTAGGCACAAGTAGGTATAGGTGCTCAGTACCTATAGTTTAGTAGTTATGTAGGTTTAGTTGGGTTAGCATATTAGGTCATGTTAGTTTTTTTTTTTAATTTGCCAAGTGTTCATAAAAATGTGACCTGATCAATTCATACCTGACTAACCTGACCTAACCTCAATCATCACACTTATTTGCAACTTACCCAAAACCTGCATAGCATTAGCACCCAGTAATAGGTACTAGGTACTCACCCTAACTCAATCTTACCTGCTAACCTTCAACTTGATAACAGTTCGCTCACCTTGCCAAACCACATCCAGGGAAACAGCCAAATGAGGAACTGGCTCATTGGGTGGCTGTTGTGAGTCTGTGCATTTTAAGTGTTTCTTCTCTGAAGCTGCTCTGCACTGCTGTATGCCATGTTAGATGCTCAGAAAAATGTGGGAAATGATAACTAAGCTAGTTTAGTGCTTTGTTCATGCTTGAGACATCAACAGGTACAAATCCTGCGGGAGTACAGCTATGAGCTAGGTGAGTATGTTATTTGAATATGCTGTTTGACTGTATTAAATATACAAACAATCACAGGGTCACAGTTATATTCAATCTCCGCATAAACATACAACAAAGCGCCCATAGCCTCACTCCGAGCACACAACAAATAACTTAAGCCTTTGCAAGCACAAAAATGCTTTGATTTACAGGATAGGTATACAATATATCCTCTGTCCTTGGGGATCTTGCTGCAAAGTTTGAGTTGAAGTAAGATGACTAAACTTCAGGTATGATTAATTTTTTCTTCTTAGCCACTGATTATGTACGAGAAAGACTAAATGCTTGGTTGATCAACGCCTTAACAATTTAATGATCCATCTTCAATTCGACATGAAGGCACAAAGAAAATAGCTCCCACTTCTCTCTCCTCTTGGAATACACAAAGCAAAATATTTAATAACTTCTTTTTCTTAGTGGAGGGACATGGACAAGAGCAATTATCATAGCTCAAGCTTCCCTTCAAGTTAACCTCTGGCAGTTGGCACTGATCACACGGACACCTTTGATCCAAGAAAAATTGAAATGTGTAAATCTGTCTAGTCAATCATGGAAGGAACGGATGAACTTGAGGTCAATATGATATTTTGTGATATACATCATCTTCACCTTGAAACTTTTTTGCAGGTTTGCTTCATATTTTGTAACAAACGCGCAAAAACTGCAATAAAATAGCACTATATGCTTCTGGACAAAATACAATGAATGTAAAAACTTAGCTCTGATGGTATTCATTCTCGGCCAAAATCTAATTACAAAATATTTTTATGGTAAGAACTAAATTTCGGCTAAAAACAACGCACGGTTTAAAAAAGAATCATTCCAATGACGGTCCATTATTGCGGTCCTGAAATCGCCACTATTTCCGGCCTCTCCAACGCAACTCGTTGTCCAGACGTAAATATGCGTTGGTGAGAGGTGGTGGCCATCTTGCACCCATAAGCTCTCTGTACCACCCCGTTGCGGCTTTGCGGTCGGGGTCCGGGTATGTCGGCCTGTCCCTTGCGGCGCGGTCTCTGGCGGTGCGGACTGCCGCTCGGTAGATGGTGTCTACATCGAGCATGACGTCTTCTTGTGCCAGCGTCGCAGCCTCGTTTGCCAGGGCGTCGGCGGACTCGTTCTCTGGGATCCCGCAGTGGGATGGAACCCACTGGAGGGTGACCGTTCGGTCTCCGGCGGTGAGCTCCAGTAGCTGCTTCCATATGGCAGCGCCTCTGGCCGAGCGCTGTGCCGACGGACCCTCTCTCAGCGCCGCTACCGCCGACAGCGAGTCGGTACATATAATGACTGGTTCTGGTGCGTCCCGCTGGTGTTCCAGGATGTGGTCCAGCGTCACCTGCAGGGCGACTATCTCCGCTCGAAAGCTGGAGCAGAGTGTGCCCGCTGGGACACGGAGCTCGGTGCGGCTGTCATCAGCTCCGACGATGAGGGCGCCAGCCCCCCCGCGGAGGATCCCGCCGCTCGACGAGCCGTCGGTCCACGCCCACGTCGCGCACTGCGTCATGGACGCCAGGTGATGGAGCGCTGCGTCTCTCTTCGTGGACCTCGCCGCACCGGCGGGCAGCGCGCCAATGCTCAGGTTGAAGGTGATCTTGCCGGTGGGCGTCCACGGTGGCGGTCGCTCTGGTAGCAGGGCCTCAACCGGCAGCTCGACCCGTAGCTCCCGCAGGGCCTCCCGGCCTACTTGGCGCCACCCCGTGACCAGCTTGAGGCGCTGAGGGGGGTCAGCCATGGCGACCGCTCGGAGGGGGTCCTCTGGCGGGAGCGCGGCAGCCTTCGCGAACATACGCGCCGCTAGCGCAGTACGTCGTGCCGCGACAGGCAGCATGCCAGCCTCGGCCGTCACACCGTGGTGTGGTGCGGAGTGTATGCAGCCCGTGACGATCCTCGCCACGGCGCGCATCTCCCGCTCCAGGATCTCGATGTTGGACTTGGACACTGCCGGCAGCCAGGCAGCAGCCGCGTGCTCTATCGCGCCGCGCACGTAGCCGTTTGCGACGGCGCGCAGCTGCTGTTCTTGCAGCCCCCAGCTGCGGCCGGTGAGACGTCGGAGTTGGGCCGCTCGGGGCCGGACGCGCCGACGGAGACTTCTGCAGTGCGGGCCGAAGCTCAGCGTCCTGTCTAGCGTCACTCCCAGAAGTTTCAGCTCAGGTCCCCCTTCCACCAGTTGACCCGCCACGTGGATGTGACAGTCGACGGCGTCTCGGGGGTTCTGGGAGAGGACGAGCAGCTGCGTCTTCTGACCCGCGACCTCCATCTTACTCCAGCGGGCCCACTTCACGAGCGTGTTGGCCGCCAGCTGCGCCCGGTCCCGGGCCACGGCGATGGAGTTGCCGGCGCAGAGCGTCGAGGTGTCATCGGCGAACATGAATGGGGTTGTGCCGGGCAGGGTCTTGAGCGTTGCTACGAGCGGCGCCGACCATAACAGAAACAGGGTCGGAGAGAGGACACTGCCTTGCGGCAGGCCCGCCCTGTACACGCGCTCGCCACTCTTCGTGCCGTTGACTTCGACACAGGCCCTCCGGTCTCGAAGAAATGCCCACACCCAGGTGTTGTAGCAGGCCGGGATTCCCAACTCTGCAAGACGCGCCCTCAGAAGACGGTGGTCGACCCGGTCGTATGCGCGGGAGAAGTCGTATGCCACCAGGACATACTTCTGGGCTGCTTCTCCGTCCGGGACTTGACGTCTTGATGGCGGGCACGGCTTGAGCCGGACGACCAGGTAGGGTCGTCCGGCGATTCTACCTGATCGTGACGTCAGCTTGTGACGTCATCTGGGGGCAAGTCTTGAAGCCCCGTTTGAGTCCCATGAAAATGGGTGATTTTTGAAGCGCTGTAGAACAAACTCTGTTGGAGCTAGCACAAAACTAAGTGCATCATCGGAAAGACGAGACATTTTTCTTTGAATTATCTAAGAGCAGTTTTTCACTAAACCCATTAGTTTTTCCGAAAATGCGTAGAAAAGCCCCCGTGCCTCCGCAGCCTCCCTTCCGCCGGCCGCTGCGCCGCCGCAGTAGTGTAGTGGTTAGGATGCTTGCACCGTGATCCAAAGGTCGTGCGCTCGAATCTAGGCGCGGGTCGGACTCAAATCGAAATTGCAAGCAGAATATGTGTTTTTTCTTTAAAATTCACTTACATTACAGCTAACCGTTCATAAAACTATCGATAACAGTTGACTGAAAGCCAAAATATAGATTACATTCTAATAAAACAAATTCAAATATGGCGGCCGTTGCGCTAGGCCCCGCCCCCGACTCCGCCCCTTCGTGTGACGTCATCTGTGCACTTGGACACACAGGGAGATAGGGGACGACATGGGCCTGATTTTGAGCATGACTTTGACGAATTGACCTCCAATGATATGCACATCGTTAAAATTTTCGGTTTTATGCATCTTACCGTCCTCTAGAACACACTATATCTACATGTGCCGATGTTTACCTTAAACTTAACCTCTGACCTTAAAAATCGGCCTGAGGTAAAAGAAAATTAGGTGCCTTAGAATCGTCACGTAAAGGCGTTTCGTTTCGTACTACTTTTGTTTCCGTAGCTCCCTTATTTATGGAGTTAGTCAACGGAGCGAAAAAAGACCCCCCCCCCCCCCCCACCCGGTCTGCGGTAGAAGGGATTACCCCCGGATCGGGCCGGGATATCGCACCGGAAAATCAGACTGTCAATACCAAAAATTGTCTCAGAAACTGTAGAGGCCACCCCTGGCGGTTTCACATGACAGAAGAATGCATAGCTACTACCGATGAGAAAATGATCAAAACCGGCTCAGGCACCCTTCCTTGTAAGATTGGACACCATCACGCATGCGTCAAATCACACACGAGCCTGGTATGAGTACAAAATGATAACAACTACAGGGACTGATGCTCATCGATACGGGCCAATCTGAATGAGATCGGTTATTTAAAGAGCTTAAAATTTTCTTCTTCAGTCTTCCAATCGATTTGACGTCATCTTTATTTCACGTGCTGCGTGGTATTTACGCCATTTGTGCTTGACGTGGTGCGTGGTATTTACGCCATTCATTCACATCTTTGTGAAACGAAGTCCTCACGCTGTGCCTAGTTTGAATTGAAGTGCCCTATTCAATTGCGTCACAAGGCTGTCGTTGACGTCGCCGATAAGAGACGTTTAAGATGGCGGGGCTCAGCATCGGCGACTATCAGTGTGCATCTGGTGCTCTTGGAGCGGACTTCGTTTCCGTGATACTCACTCACGAATCAGGTCAGTACATATATATATACATCATCGGTGTGAACTAGCAATAGAAAGCAGCTGGTAGGATGGTGCTTTACAACGTGTCTAAAGCAGTGCATTTATTGATCTAGTGTCAAAAAGGAAATATTGAACAAGCATAGTCCGTTCTATTTAAGGTGGGTATAAGGAATAAGTATCATAGTTTAACATGTACCTGGACAATTACACATGAAAAAGATACGGGCAGGGGGTATTTTGTCCGGGACCTTCCGGTGTAACAGGCCGTATATCACAAGTATAATGGCTAATGCGTCCTTTGAATGCTACTTTATTTTAGTGACCGGTCTTAATTGATATGAAATGTTTAAATCAGGTTTTCACCTTACTCACATCGGGTAGTGCATCTGAATACCCACCAGGCAAATGGCGTTATCTGAGCGCGAAGCGCGGACTGGACGTAACATTCCAGCTGCACAAATTTCTTGGGCTGCGCGTTGAATTCCAGTTGACATGTGGTGGCCTGATGGGACACCCATAGCTAACGATATCGCCGCCCCCTTTCTCCAGCCGAGATGCTGCGTCTTGTGTCGATGCTGGCCTGTCTAGGCGCCCTGGAGGCGGCCGTGGTGGCCGTGCCGCACGTGCAGCTGGACGTGCCGCACGTGCAGCTGGACGTGCCGCACGTGCCGGCCCCCGTGCAGCCCGTGATCGGCGCCGTGCTGGCGCAGAGGAAGACCGCCGAGCCAGCCACCGTCTCCCTGCCGCTCACCAAGGTGGATGCAAACGTGAGTAGCCTGCCAATGCCGACAGGTGTCGTCATGTAAGATAAGATCGTTTGGTCACTCAGAACTTAAATTGCATGCTTGCAATTAATCATTTGAGACTGCTTTTCACTGTTACCGTTTTTACCTGAGCTGCACCATTTTGCGGATGTCACTCTTTACTTCATAACTGCGGTGTATTTGTAGGGCCAGCGATACTTCCTCGGGGAGATGTCGGTGGGCACGCCCGGCCAGGCCATGACAGTGACCGTGGACATCACCGGCCCGCTCTCGTACGTGCCCTCCGTCAACTGCAGCGACCCGTTCTGCACGAGCCACAAGCGATACGACTCGGCCGCCTCCTCCACCTACGAGGTAAGCCACAAGAAGCTGGGACCCTAAACAATGCATACACATACCACATTAACCCTATTCCTGGCGGGGGGGGGCCTCAGGAGCCCCCCCATGAGGTTTTTTGGTTATTTCTCCCAAACGCGTTGAGCTAGGAAGCTCAAATTTTCTGACTTTTCCTAAAAGGCTTCTACGCAACATGTCTGAAAATTTTGAGTTGATCTGACCTCAGGTCAGGTCACCAGAGGCGGTTTGGTGACCCTACCTCAGAAAAGTTTGCAATCACGCCAGAGCTAGAGTTTTTGACCGATCAATTTCTTCTCTTCAGGGTTTAGTTAGGGTACCAGTATGTGCAATTTGTATATCTCGGAATTTTGATATCGGTGACCTAAGGTCAGGTCAATTTCGCGACCTCCCCATTATAAGTCAATGGGGGAAAAATCAACTCCCTGTTTTTACCACTAAAACGGGTCGGAATGGCCCCATATACCATACATGACTTCATATACGATCAACCTTCACTACCTTGAGGTCTGTTTTGCTGTTGGGCAGCTGTGAGGTCATGTGACGTCATCAAAGGTCACCAAAGGTTTTTGGCCAATAACTCCGTACAGGAACAAGATACAGACGCGTGGATGGTCTCATTGTGTTCAGCTCGTCAAGACGCATCGAATGATATACATGATGACCTCGAGGTCACGTGACCTGAGGTCAACCTTTGACCTTGACCTTTCGAGGTCAACATATATATCATTCGATGCGGATTGACGAGAGGATCACGATGATGCCCTTAGTTTGTTCCTATCTTGACTAATTCGAAAGTTATTCGAGAAAAAAACTCTCTCCATATCTAGCGCCGCCATTTTGACTTTTTCGACCCCTGTGACGTCATCTTTGATCTGACCTGAAAATGACCTTAGTAAAAATTGTAGATCTTGGCCGTGCGTATCCGATGCCGTTTACCGCTTGTCGCTATCTCGCTTCGTTCTCGAGATCTCAGGGGGGGGGCCGAATCGGCCCCCCCCCCCGCCAGTTTCTTGTCCCGGCGGAGCCCGCCAGGAATAGGGTTAATATCCAGAATAAGTTAACGATGCTTATCTGACAGGCACTTTCATGAAACTCTTCTCGTTATAATTACTCCTAAGTTTCAAGTAACCTATGTCAAACCTATGTCAAATTATGATCTGCCTCTCTTCATGTTTCCAACAAATGCCTTTCTGAAGTCGTTGTGCCTCCTCAGGCGGACGGCACTCCGTTCGAGCTGCCGTACGGACAGAACGCCAGCGGCGTGCTCTCCAAGGACGCGATCAGCGTGGGGGGCGCCACCGTGAGCGGCCAGACGTTCGGAGAGGCCACGGCCGTCTGGAACAGCTACTCGGTGCAGGCGCCCAACGACGGCGTGCTCGGACTGGGCTTCGGCTTCATCGCCGGCGAGCAGGGCGTGCCGACGATCGTGGAGTCGATGGTCGAGCAGGGCCTGATCGGACAGTGGCTGGCCGGAATCTGGCTGGGCCGCGACGACGCCGGAGGTGAGCTGACCCTGGGCGGTCTCAACGACGCCCGTCACAGCGGCGAGCTGACCTGGGCGCCCATCGTGCTCAACCCAGAGGGCTGGGCGGCCTCCGTGGAGAGCCTCACTGTCGGAGAGACCAGCATCTGCTCGGAGAACTGCTTCGTCACCGCGCTGAGCACCACGCCCTACTTCTTCCTGTCCATGGAGGCGGCGAAGGCGGTCAACGACGCCCTGGGCGGCTTCGACATCGGCCAGCCGGGCGTGGCCGGCCTGGACTGCAGCACTCTGTACACGCTGCCCACTCTGCAGGTGAAGGTGGCCGGACGCATCCTGGAGATGAGCCCGCTCGAGTACACCTTCATCTACCCATTCGGAGGTGGTGTCGAGATGTGTCTCTCGGGCTTTGTCGGTATGCCTGACTTTGACGACAATGTGACCGTGCTGGGCTCCCTCTTCATGCAGAAGTTCTACACTGCCTACGACATGCAGAATATGCGCGTGGGCTTTGCTGACAGTGCCTGATACACCACTCTCCGTGTAATGGAAGGCTGCAAGAGCTCTATGACGAAATCTTCAAGTGATGATTGTTTAGGAAAGTAGCTTGTGTTGTGGAATTGATTTTTGATCATTCTTATCAAATAAAACGTATTGCAAAGTCACATTGCACTGACTATTTTCTTGTATCAAGAGTAATTCGATGCAGCAGTCTAGGGGTCAATATCAACGCGCAAACCAAGGCACGAGCACAGTACACGAGAAACGCACTTCGGACACAATGGAAGCAGGCTAAAACGGTATAACGCGTTACGCTCGTAGCAAATGCACATGAAAAAGTGGTAAAAATGACATTTTAGAGTGTACGAGTACATGGCTAAATGTGGTTACACTGTCTCGATGCGCCCCAATGTGGAAGCGTTGCACCGCAGGCCCATGTCCATCTATGACAATGGGATAAAGATACCGCTGCTGGCATCCGAATGTCGGTGCAGAAGGGATGAGGCTGAACAGCAAAGAAAATCGCTCGGCAAAGGTATGCATGGTTGGGAAGATATCGAACGGGCTCATTTTTGAGCTCGCTCGGATTTCACCCCGCGGGCGTTTCACTGGTTTTGCTAGCGAGTGGGCGTTGCTACAAAGGTTTCGGAGTAGGATCTAGATCAGGACTGGACAGTGGGGAAGGACACGCTCAGGCGCATCCGAATCCTCTCCAGATGACGCACCTGCCCGCCAGCTGGATGGTCTTTCAATGTTGTGCTCAGGGCGTGTTCTTGATAAGCGACCTTCACTCTCCCGTCAGTGCCCGATGCCGACTCTTTGGCCAGCGATGGGTGGCTGCGGCTCTGGACGATTACATAGTTAGAGCCCTGGCTTCTTTTGCCATAGAATCCGCTCTCTCATTGTCATCTCTTTTCAAAGTGCACCAGGATTCTCTAGGTAGGTCGCCTCTTGCCAGGACCACTACCTACCTGTTACGAACTTGCTCTGCTAAGGGGGTTGCTCTGCCACGAGAGATCCAACGTCCAGCCGAATGGACAATGGTGATGCCGGCTGCCGGTGTTCCCAGAGCTGGGTGTCTCCGTGGCCAATATCGCCTCAACGACCGGAGATTGCCCCTGCTTGCGCCCACACGGCTCATCCAAGGCCTTTCACTTCACCCAAAGACCCACTTCATTCGTCTGGAGGCTATGGCCTCAGTATCTTCAGGCAGCGGGCTTATCTTGGAAAGTGAGTGCGCGCTCTCTATCAGATACCTATTTTACCTTCGTCGCCAGTTATTGTATTGTATTGTATTGTATTGTTTTGTATTGACAATTAAAACACTCTCCATATTAAAATGGCTATTCTGAGTGTCGCGTCTGAGTTAAAAGGGGAAAACGAGTTAAAATGCACCCAAATCACAGCACTCAGTAAACATATCGAACCATTCACTCATCCCTAAAAAACGTAAAAACAACTCTGAAACAGAGCGCTTAAAGGTAGTGTGCCACCTTTGAAAGATTTCCCATTTTATTTTTCCTAGGATAAGAAGCTTCTGTTTTTACCTAATGTCGCAAAAATCAAAAATGGGCCTGGAATAGTGCCTTTTTCGCCTAAAAGTTTATCGGTTTTTCGATATGTATAACAACTGTAGTGGGCTGACCTGCAAACAGGCGTCGGCAACAATCGCGAATGCGGCGCACATGTGACAATAAGCAAAGGTCATTATAGAGTTACGACGTACGGGAATGAGTTATCAGCTGTCTAATCGTAGACAACACAATGTCGAGCCTTAAACTGTAAGCCTGTATTGGTATTGCTTCTTTTACTTGGCTGTCGAACATTATTTATGGTTTGAAATATGATTTTATGTAAAATAATTGATATGTAACAGCCGTCTCTTAAGTTATGACCCCATTTCACCACACGCAAGTGGCAGAAATGACAATGATCAGCTGACGCATTTTTCTTGGCCGAAGTCAGAGCGCGCGGCCCGACGCACCACCACCGCACCACAAAGTATCAGCAGAAGCCGCGCCCAAAGCCAGGGCCCCGGTAACGTGAGGTAGCCGAGTCGGGGCAGCGTGCGCTGACCCAAGCCGGGGCCGCAGCTTTGGGCGCGGTCTACCGCATCCCCGCGGGCAGCCCCGGGCTATCACATGACACCGGGAGGACGCGCGGCCCCGGCTTGGGTCAGCGCACGCTGCCCCGACTCGGCTACCTCACGTTACCGGGGCCCTGGCTTTGGGCGCGGTCTACCGCACCACCTAACAGGCGTGTTCGAAACCGCAGGAGATGATGATGAACGGGTTTATCGAAACTTGATTGGATGAGCATATCGGTAATAGCGATTTCAGTGTGTGCATTTATTGTTCATAGTGGTGTGAATGAAATGTGGTTGGGGTACGACCGACAACCCGTCGGGGCGAATTTCGCACTAGGGTACTCAAAATTTGAAGAATTTAAAGGTAGTGTGCCAGTTTTTCTGGACCGTATGGAGTTAATGGCCCAGCTAAGGAGAACCGGGTTTTTAGAACTTATCCATACCTTCAAAACTCATGGAAACGTCTTAAATCGGAGTCGGAGTCGGTCCAGCTGCCTCGACTCCGACTCCGGAAAGTTAACTGATCTCTAAAATCCGCGCTATCACTTTTCAGTTGTTTTTAAGCAGTTACCCCGCGGCAGAATTTGCTTCCGATGATCAAAAATAAGTTTTTTTCACACATCTTGTTTTGTCCTGAATAACAAACATCGGGTCTTACAAGTTTTAAGTTATGTTATAACTAAATAGGCAGGCATTTTGTATTCACGTTGTAACTTCTACTATCCAGCGTGTGACTTAACCCTATTCCTGGCGGGGGGGGGGCCTCAGGAGCCCCCCTGAGGTTTTTTGGTTATTTCTCCCAAACGCGTTGAGCTAGGAAGCTCAAATTTTCTGACTTTTCCTAAAAGGCTTCTACGCAACAGGTCTGAAAATTTTGAGCTGATCTGACCTCAGGTCAGGTCACCAGAGGCGGTTTGGTGACCCTACCTCAGAAAAGTTTGCAATCACGCCAGAGCTAGAGTTTTTGACCGATCAATTTCTTCTCTTCAGGCTTTAGTTAGGGTACCAGTATGTGCAATTTGCATATCTCGGAATTTTGATATCGGTGACCTAAGGTCAGGTCAGTTTCGCGACCTCCCCATTATAAGTCAATGGGGGAAAAATCAACTCCCTGTTTTTACCACTAAAACGGGTCGGAATGGCCCCATATACCATACATGACTTCATATACGATCAACCTTCACTACCTTGAGGTCTGCTTTGCTGTTGGGCAGCTGTGAGGTCATGTGACGTCATCAAAGGTCACCAAAGGTTTTTGGCCAATAACTCCGTACAGGAACAAGATACAGACGCGTGGATGGTCTCATTATGTTCAGCTCGTCAAGACGCATCGAATGATATACATGATGACCTCGAGGTCACGTGACCTGAGGTCAACCTTTGACCTTGACCTTTCGAGGTCAACATATATATCATTCGATGCGGATTGACGAGAGGATCACGATGATGCCCTTAGTTTGTTCCTATCTTGACTAATTCGAAAGTTATTCGAGAAAAACTCTCTCCATATCTAGCGCCGCCATTTTGACTTTTTCGACCCCTGTGACGTCATCTTTGACCTGACCTGAAAATGACCTTAGTAAAAATTGTAGATCTTGACCGTGCGTATCCGATGCCGTTTACCGTTTGTCGCTGCGATGTGTAGTTTTTGAGATCTGGAGGGGGGGCCGAATCGGCCCCCCCCCCCGCCAGTTTCTTGTCCCGGCGGAGCCCGCCAGGAATAGGGTTAATGACAACTGTATATTTACTTTCTTCTTTTATCGCTCCGAAATTTTATCGCGCCATTTTTGTTCATTCGATTAAGTTACGGCTGCAATGACAACTGCACGGCAGCTACGTTCCATGCGAGCCGCCCCGGTGCGACAGCTACTGCTCTGCCCGCTCCACGCAGCCGACTGACCGGCCAAGGTCACCTCACATGTGTGCGACGTTCACTGGCGGATCCAGGGGGGGCCACGGGGGCCATGGCCCCCCCCCCCCCCAAAGGCCTAAAGTGGCCTGTTTGGCCCCCCCAAAAAGCCAGAAAAATTGCTAAGAAAATATACCTTGATGGAGGTTTTTAGCCACTTGGTGAAGTAAAGCTTTCCACAGCATAATATGGAAGCAATATAGTAGCAGTGAGGGTCAGTCAAAAGTTGCGCGAGCGGAGTCGACCTTAAAAAAAAAGACTGTTGTTGGCACGTGTTTATGGCGCGGCAGCTGGTAGTTGGCGGTGTTTCGCGTGGTGTGGCATCACTGGCGGATCTGGGGGGGAGGGGGGGGGGCACGGGAGCCTGAGGTGCCCCTGACAGGCCCGTGGTGCCCTTGCTAGGCCTGTGGTGCCCCTGGACCCTGGCAGGCCTGTGGTACAGTCCACAGCAGAAGTAATGTGGGGTTTCAGTCATGGGTATGTTCTGCTTCTGAAGCTTAGGAACGATTAGCCAGACTACAATGAAACTTTGAATGTAGCTTATATGTATCGTCACCCTTGCAGCTGCAACTTTAGCTATTGACATCTTCTTTTCAATCACTTCGCATTAAACAATCGCCAGTCAAAGCCAACCGTTGAGTTTGGTAAAACCCTACATTACTTTAGCGGTGGGCTGTACCTCTGGCGGGCCTAGGGTGCCCCTGCTAGGCTGCTGATGCCCCTGGGACCTGACAGGACTGTAGTGCCCCTGACAAGCCTAAAGTGCCCCCAACAGGCCCGTGATGCCCCCGACAGGCCCAAGGTGCCCCTGCGTGATGCCGTGATGCCTGCGAGGCCGGTGGTGCCCCCTGCGAGGCCGGTGGGGCCTCTGACAGGCCCATGGTGCCCCTGCTAGACCGGTGGTGCCCCTGGCAGGCCTGTGGTGCCCCTGCTAGGCCGCTGGTGCCCCTGGGCCCTGACAGGACTGTGGTGCCCCTGACAGGCCCAAGGTGCCCCTGCAAGGCCGGTGGTGCCCCTGCAAGGCCGGTGGTGCCCCTGTAAGGCCTGTGGTACCCCTGCTAGGCCTCTGGTGTCCCTGACAGGCCCATGGTGCCCCTGCGAGGCCGGCGGCGCCCCTGGCAGATCTCTGGTGTCCCTGGCAGACCTGGGGTGCCCCTGACAAGCCTGTG